CTTCCTTCTCTCTCTTTCTTTTCCCTCCCTCCCTCCCTCCCTCCCTCCCTCCCTCCCTTCCTTCCTTCCTTTTTTCTTTCCTCCATCTTCATTTCCCTCCATCCCTCTCTCCCTTTCTTCTCTCTTTCTTTCTTCCTCCTGGCAGGAATGGATCAGAGACACCCAGAACTTGGCCCGCTTGAGCGGCCTGCCGGGCGGGGAGCCAGACGCCGGCCTTGAGGAGCCCGTGGTGCTCCAGCTGACCAGTACCGAGCCCGAGCCACCCAGGAGCAGCGGCCCACAGACCGGGGAGACCGAGGCCCCTGGGAGACCCCTGCAGGTTCCCCAGCAGCCCCTCCAAGGCGGTGATGTGGTCACTCTTGCCGGCTTTACCTTTGTGACGAAAGACAGCTCCTACGTGGCGTTATGACGGATGCAACATTCTCAAACTCAACGGTCAGGGTGCACGGGGACGCTTGAGGACCACGGGAACTGTCTGGGAGACCCCCCATCATCACGGAGGGGAATTCGCCACATCAATGATGGCATCAACTTCGCTTTAAAGAAAAGCTAACTCCAGCTGGCTGCGGTGGCTCACGCCTGTCATCCCAGCACTTTGGGAGGCCGAGGCGGGCGGATCACCTGAGGTCGGGAGTTCGAGACCAGCCTGGCCAACATGGTGAAACCCCGTCTCTACTAAAGATACAAAAAAATCAGCCGGGCGTGGTGGTGGGTGCCTGTAATCTCATCTACTGGGGAGGAGAATTACTTGAACCCAGGAGGCGGAGGTTGCGGTGAGGCGAGATCGCGCCCCTGCACTCCAGCCTGGGCACCAAGAGCGAAACTCCGTCTCAAAGCAAAGAAAGAAAAGCCACATCCTCATTCATAAGCACCGACTATCCCTCTCCCTTACACCGAGTGAGGGCTGTCAGGAGCTTTGAGTAGACACCGAAATTACCCAGAAGGAACAACGAGGTTTTTAATCATCACAGAAGAAATTTTCGAGACACTTTCCGGGTGTACCAGGATTTGTCTCATTCCCGTGGAAAAACACATCGTAAAACTGCCTGTGTTTCTGTAGTATCACCTTGTTCCGTGTGGGACACGTGCAAGGGGAGAAGGAAATGCACACGTACAAAAGGTTTTTTGTTTTTTTTTTTTTTGAGACGGGGTCTCGCTGTGTCGCCCAGGCTGGAGTACAGTGTGGTGATCTCGGCTCACCACAACCTCCGCCTCCCGGGTTCAAGCGCTTCTCCTGCCTCTGCCTCCCGAGTAGCTGGGATGACAGGCGCCCACCACCAGGTCCGCTAATTTTTGTATTTTCAGTAGGGACAAGGTTTCACCATGTTGGCCAGGCTGGACTTGAACTTGTGACCTTAGGTGATCTGCCCGCCTCAGCCTCCAAAAGTGCTGGGATCACAGGTGTGAGCCATTGCTCCTTGGTGGGTCAAACCCAGCACGTTGGGAGGCCAAGGCGGGCAGATCACCTGAGGTCAGGAGTACAAGACCAGCCTGACCAACAAGGAGAAAACCCGTTTCTACTAAAAATAGAAAAATTACCTGGACATGGTGGTGGGTGCCTGTGATCCCACCTAGTCAGGAGGCTGAGGCAGGAGAATCGCTTGAACCCGGGAGATGGAGGTTGCGGTGAGCTGAGATCACGCCACTGCAGTCCAGCCTGGGCGACAGGGGTGAAAGTCTATCCCCACCCCCCCATCCCCCAAAAAACCGAACAGAAACAACCTCACGGAGCATGTTCTAGAGAATTAGTCATCAGTCACAGATGGTATCTGTCCTTTGGGGAACATTCTGAATCGAAGCAGGGCCCCGGTTCCTCTCCCTTGAAACAATCACCACTTGTGATCGGTAGCAGAAGTGAGGACCTCCGGCTCTCGCCGAAAGCCCGGGAGTGCCGGGCCCTGAGCGTGACTTAAAAAGGCAGATGATTCAGAGACCACAGACGCTGGAGAGGATGTGGAGACACAGGAACACTTGTACACTGTTGGTGGGAGTGTGAATTAGTGCAACCATTGTGGAAGACAGTGTGGCCATTCCTCAAGGACCTAGAAATAGAAATTCCATTTGACCCAGCAATCCCATGACTGGGTATATATCCAAAGGATTACAAATCGTTCTACTATAAGGACACGTGCACACGCATGTTCATTGCAGCACTGTTTACAATAGCAAAGACCTGGAACCAACCCAAATGCCCATGGATGATAGACTGGACAGGGAAAATGTGGCACATACACACCATGGAATATTATGCAGCCATCAAAAAGGATGAGTTTGGGTCCTTTGTAGGGACATGGATAAACCTGGAAACCATCATTCTCAGCAAACTGACACAACAGCAGAAGATCAAACACCGCCTGTTCTCACTCATAGGCGGGTGTTGAACAATGAGAACACATGGACACAGGGAGGGGAGCATCA